TCCTTATTATTAGGGAAACTTATGAAATAAAAAATTATGAGTATATCAAGTGCTTTGACACTAAAATTTTAAAAAATTTAAAATGTGAAGTAAATCAATTTGGCTTGTGAATAGCTCAAATAATAGTCTGAGTAATCCAGAAATTAATATGATTATTCATTTTACGAGCTCTATGATGGCTTTTCTTTTCTGCTAGACTTATTACACTATCAATTAGAAACAGGACAGTCTTTAGAAAATCACATTTTTATTTCCTAGAGTATGGACTTCGAGTCCCTTTTCAACTCTTTGTGATGTAACTGTTTAGGAAATAATGCATACAAGTTAACATAAAATTTTTGCATTGTTACAAAATTTGTAAAATTTTTTAACTTACATGGTTATGAGAAGCACAGACATGGAATGTAAATGATTTACAAGAACAATATATATAATAAGGTGTAAAAATTGTGAACTTACAGTAGATATGACGGTACGATACATAAAATAGTAATAGCAGTGAGAGGCAAACAATATACATAAAAGAGTACACTGTTAAAACATTAAAACTGTGACATTGGAAACTATTTTACCATTAAAACAATAAAATAGAATGATGAAATAAAAAACAAGTGCACCGTTAAAACAATAAGATTATAAACTTATTTATAGTAAAGTCATAACATGATGAGACGATTCACAGAAATAACAAGAAATTTGCTGCCATTTACCTTTTTATTTAAACACTCCCCCTTTCCTCTCTCGTCTCCTCTTGGTCAAATATGGATACCATGTTTCATGTAATTTTTCACCAGTATTATTATTCATCATTCTGTCTTTGTTTTTTTTTTTAGTATTTCTAAATGTTCATAACATCTCCTTTTTTGTGTGTTGGATTTTTTTTTAAACAATTTTAATGGTGCCCCTAATAATTTGGCAGCTTTCACCATTAAAATGAACTGCAACAGCCGAATTACTATTATTATATTTAATCGCAGATATGTGTTCTTTAAACTGAACCTTCAAATCTCTGCCAGTTTCACCTATATAAAATTTAGGTACAGTGCAGCTACAACCGAGTTTGTAAATTATGTTTCTTTGGTCCATATACATATTATTATCATCATTATCATGAGCGTTTATCTTCCTGTTCAAACTAGGGATTTTTTTGGGCACTAAAATTATACCGTATTTGTTTGATTTAAATTTGATTCTTTCAAAGTTATTTTGTTTGTACAGAATTTTAAAAATTTGAGTGGTGTTGTTACTTTCATGTTTGTGTTTATTAGTTTCCTATTATTGATCCAGTTGTTGATTATGCATTTGCTGTAAACATTCATTAAAAACATCTTGTATTTCAGTTGTTTTATGAGTTTCATTAGTGATACGTTGTATGATTTTGTCAATGTACATGTAAAAAATGTTTTTCTTCATGTAACTGGGTACTTCAGAAGTGTAATACATAACAATGCCTACGATGCATGGTTTTCTGTATTTTTTAAAAGTGGTTTTGTCTTTAAATCTAGTGGCAAGAATGTCTAAAAATGGTAACTGGCAGTTATTTTTGGGTTCCAAATCAAATTTTATATTTGTGTGTATTTTATTAACAAATTCTAGAATCTGGTCTGCATGTATAATAATATTATCGTAAACTATAAAGCAGTCATCCACGTAGCGTTGTAGATCTATATAATGCCCGTAATGTTGGCATCTTTCTTATTAATGTTGGACATGCTAAGTCGGCTTAAATGGGACCTATTACCGAACCCATTGGAATGCCATCATTTTGCCTATAGAATTTATCATTGCTAATAAAGTAATTATTTTCTAACACAAGGTTTATCATGTTTATAATCCATTGGTTACAGTTATGAGTTTTCAATGTTTTTAAAATTCTATGATGTTTTATTGACAGATACATGTTGCATACATCTAGGGAGGCTAGTCTATAACTTGGCTTAAACACTACAGTTTTTAATTTTTGTATGAAACTATTGGTACTTTGTATACTATGATGAGATTTTTCTAAAGTGTTTAATTTCCCTTTTAAAATTATTCGAGATTATAAAAATATATAGCCTTTTATGTCTACTAAAGGTCTGTATGAAATGGGTTCTTTATGAGTTTTGACTCTATAGGAAAACTTTGGTATTCTGTTCTCTCCTCTTAAAAGATAAATTATTTTTCAGTCCTATTAATAAGGTTTTGCTTTTCAAGTTTATCAAGAGTTGCTTTTAATTTTTTTGTTAAGTGAGTCAGTAGGGTTATTATTAAGTTCTTTGTATGTATTTTGGTCTAGTAATTGCCTGTAGATGTTTTTATCTTGATCCTAATTCACAATTATTATTTTTGTTTTATCCACTTTGACTATTATTAAGTTGTTATCTTTTAAAAATTTTTTAGATTCTCTATTTTATGCTTGTACATTATTATTTTATTTTTTATAATTCATGCTGTAGTTCTTCTCTGCAGTTCATGCATGTAGTTCTTCTCTTAATTTGATTTTTTGCTGTTGTGTTGTTGGTGAAAAACTAATGATATTTTCTAAGCTAACAGCCCAATTGTTTCTATCAATAGTGATTGGACCATTAATTAAAGTTTAAACCTTTGCTTAGTAATTTACCTATATGAGTTGCTATTTGAACATTAGTTAAGTTAATGATTGTTATTTAGCCAATTTTTCCTTTCTTGGATGGTTGGATAATTTAATTTTTTAACAAGTTTTTGGTATTTTTTATAATAATAAACCTGATTATTATGAGTGAGGGGTTCTCTGTGATTAGTACAGTGATCATTTCTTACTTTTTTAATTTTCTTGGTTAGTTTTTAACTGTTTTTTTTATGTCGTATAACAGATTTCATTATTATTTTCTCTATGATTACAACATCATGTTTTTGCATGTCTCTAACTATACTGTTTCTTAATTTTATGGTTGGTAGAGATATACCCTCCCTAAGACATGTTCTTAAATACCAAATGTCAACATTTAACTGACACCTCTCATTTTGCAAGATTTCTTCTCTTGATGCGTTGGATTCTCCATCCCTAACAGAATAGAAAAGCCGTCATAGAGCTAGTAAAATTGAATACAAGACAGACAAGAAGCGTATTACAGAAAATATGATAATTATTAGAATATTTGAGCTTGGTTTTTATGTATATCTATAATGATTTATTAACAGAAACAAAACTGATAAAGCAATATTTTAATGTTTGAGATGGCATCTTCTAAACTGTATCCAAAAATTATCTTACTTTCAGTGGAGATAAAGGTATACAGTGGGGTAGGGTGTATGGTTTTTTTCATTTTTGCAATTTTCTTCAGGTTATATTCCATGATAGATTATCCATCCATTGGATAATCTATCATGGATGGATAGTTACAGTAATAAGAACATTTAACACTAGAAATTCTCAATATATTCATGACGGAATATTTTTTATCAGAAAATAGAGATTGAGAAGAGTAGAAATTCAAGAGTTGCTAATATTTCTCAAATTAAGGCCCTTGACAAACCCATTCTTACTAAGTGTTGCTCAAGTCAGACTTCATGGTCTTCAGGGATGTCAGCTGTTCTTATTCTTTTAGATCTAGAATTTACCTGATGCATTTTAATTTTATACTTTTTCCTTAGGCATTTTTTTTTTTTGACAAAATAGCAGTCTTTTTAGTTCCATGTTCATAAAACAGATGAATTGTATGTATGTTAGTTAGATGAGCAATGACACTAAATAATGGATTCGTTAAATTGTTACTTCCAATCACTATGGAAAGATTTTTTTTTAATTTGTTATAGAAGTGACATGATGAGACAATCATTTTTTAAAGTTTAAATTTTAAATTTAATGAGGTAAGTTTAAAATATGCCATTTGCCAAAATATTTAAAAATGCAACCCAAGGAAATTCTCTCATCAAGCATGAACTAAATGATGTCAATGATTGTCACTGAAATGTAAGTGTGATTACTGATCCAAAATTGATAAAACATTTATTCTGTAGCTAATATTTCAACAAAATAAGTAGCCTGTACTTTCCATCAGAGCATAAAATGAATAAAGCCAAAATTTCATTTGGATTGGACAAAAATTGCAGCAGTTATAAGGAATTCACACATGCATGCACAATGGCTTTTATATTAGTAACAATAATATAAAATAAAAAGACTATAAATTCTTAACATGGAAATATCTAAGAAATGTCTGCTTATCTGCATGCATATGACATCTTATTACATGAAACTTATGGAGGAATAATGCCATATGAAAATAACATTTTCTGACTTCCAGATTACATGGACATCCACTGTATAAATAATAAACTAAGGTAAATGTTTGTAAAATACCTTAAGACTGAAATTTCTATATGGTATTAATCAGATAGTTATGAAAGGACAATTGGAAAATTTAAATATTGTAATTTTTATCTACTTAATAAATTTCTCATAATTTCAAAATTTTTCATAACACACAAACAGTAAAATCATTTTTAGTTGGCATAACATTTTTTACATTTATGAATAAAATTTCATTATAACTATTTTACTATAAATCAGCTGTCAAGATTGCTCAGTGCAGTTTGAAATTTTTATTGTAAAATTTTCTAGATCAAGGGTTGCCAAACTTTTTTGATTGTCGACCCCCTACAAGTTTTTGAAACCTCACATCGACCCCCACCAAAAAGTTTATGTTAGAAACAAAACAAAATACTTACTATTTTAATACATTTCTTTTAATTTTTTCATTTTTTTTCATTTATTATATATTTGTTAATAATAATTTTTGTAACTGACAATCATTGAGACAGATAAGCTTGAGCCTTAGCTCTCCCTTATCCTTAGCTTAAGCTTGATAATTGACCCCCAATAATGTTATATCGACCCCTGGGGGGTCGATAGCGACCACTTTGGCGACCCCTGTTCTAGACATTAGTGTCATGATTAATAATATATAAAATTCCAAAAGTTAAATCACATAGAAAAAGTTACAATGGATAACTTATTTTTTTAAATTTTAAATTAGGTTGAAAGGATAAAGGAAAGAGTTGAAGAAAAGGAAGGAATACCACCTGCTCAACAAAGATTGATTTTTAGTGGTAAACAAATGTGAGTTCTGTGTACTTTTAACAATTTCTTAATTTTAATTTATTAGGTTGTTTAGTCTGTTGTCATTTCTTAATGTTTTAAGCAGGGCTGTGAAGTCGGAGTTTTGGTGTTTTAGCCGGAGTTGGAGTCGTCAAAAAATCCGCCGACTCTGACTCCCTTTTACTTACCAACTTGTTATGTATATGAAACGGAAACGGAGTTGGAATCGGTAGATTTTTATGCGACTCCACAGCCCTGGTTTTAAGTCATAATATAATTGATTTTAAAATAATTTTTCAAATAATTTTGAGATGAACAAAAATGATTATCTATCTAGACTAGCAATGAATATCAGAATGTGATTTATTAGCTTTGATTATTTGATTTATCATAACATAAATACCTAGAATTTAAAATGTAAGAAAATAAATGTGTTTTTTTCCACCATATATTGCAAATCATCAAAGTGAACTAACTACTGATAATATTGAAGCTTTAATTAAAACAAATGAAAAAAATATTTTAATATTTACCAAGTTCTTTTTGTTATTTACTTCTGATGATATATTTGTTTTTTCAATGAAAGTTACTTGGTAAATATTTTTTTGTTTGTTTTATTTGTGAAGCTTGTGTTAATATGAAACTCGAAACAAGTTATATATTACTTTGGTGTGTGCCTTAGCAATTTTTTTCCTGCAAAAATAAGGTTAATGTCAGATTGCAGTGATTAGGATTATACTGTATATTTGCCAATTTATTCTAATAAATCATCTTTTACACCTCAGATTTTTTACTGGTTTGGATATATTTGAAAATTTTATTTATATCAGATTTGTGAGATAGCCGGGGACGTAATCAGCGGTACGCCACTTACGGGCACGCGATTGTGAGATCGGTTCTCTTATTCTTTCATAGGAGAGCGATAACCGCTAATGGATCTGAACTGTGAAGTCCAGATGCTCGTCAGGACTGACACCAGTTTGTCAATTTATCGATCCGCGGACAAACATGCGTATGAGATCTGACTCAGACACAAATTCAGAGACATATCTTATATAAAACAAACAAGAGTAAGTTTAATGATTCTATATAAGTAAAACTAATACAAATATCAATGAACGAGGGATATAAATACGACAATTAAGATACACGATATAGGCATGGACTTATACTATACCCGATTCGCGATCGAGAGAGAGAGCTCACAAAATCGTTAGAAACATACAACCTGTTTTAGTTGTCGATCGTCTTCTTCTCTGTAGGCAAGGGACTCTTTGGAGATAAAGTTCATTTACTTCTTTCCATGGGAGATCGATATGTGCACAAAATCAAAGTAAAATTTCTAAGTGCTAACTCGGGAATACTTCTATGTGACTCGTCTAAGGGCATTGGTCATCAGGAGGAAAATGTGTGGAGTTTGGACGCTTCCAGATCTGTCGCTGAACTCCTCGAATTCTGACAAATTCCCTCTATATCTCCTGAATTTCGACCAATCATCGGCCAGTAACTCTTTCATGAGAATGGATGAAAGGGGAATGAATGAGGGGTAAACATTTCCCATCTGAGCGGGATTTTAATCAGATAAGGGAAAGTCAGAGGATGTTCTAACTTCTGTGAAAGGAAGTAGCATCTGTTATCTGCGTTTTCCCACGTTTAAAACATTATTTTCTCACCAAAAATGAAGTAATATTTGATGACAATATTTAACATAATTAATAAAATTATTAATTTAGACCCAGGGCCTTACAGGTCTCACAGATTTCTGTTATCCTAATTGCTTGGAATGTTGATATTTAGGTTTCAAAACTTTGTAAATCTCTTAAAATATACTTAAGCACTGCCATTTGCTGTCATCCAAATCTAATGTGTTCCTCTAAATAATTTTAATATTGGATATCAGAAAATGTGTTTCCATTAGTATTTATGGGAAAAATTCTTTGTTCTCAGTCCATCTGACTAACCCAATCAGTAGGTAAATAGGTGTTTTAGTGTCTCCTAAGGCATTAAAGGATTATTGAATTCAGATATTGTTATGGGTACTAAAATTGTCATTTGTTACAGTAGGAATTTAGAAAGTGTGTTCAGTTATGGGGTATAGCTATATTTTCATAAAACAACCTTTAAGCCAGATGCACACATGCAGCGCAGCAAGGAAAAGCAGTGTCGCAAATGCATCTTCGCCGCACGGCAGCACAGCCACACAAGTGGCAATTTGCTTACATTTTGGCTCATGCGTTCAGTATTCAAGATGGTGAACGATACCGATATTGTTGCTATCCACGTGTTTACAAATTTTGTTTTGTACAGCTTGCTTTATTTAGTTAGAAGATTTTGTCAAAGATTCAAATGAAGATTTTGGATTAGAGATATTTTCTTGGATTGATAAAGAACTGGTGTATTAAATACACTCGATAAAGAATACTATTTTGAGTAAGATTCGGTTGTTTTGTTCTTTGAATTAAATTATATATGATTATTTGTGTAGAATTTGTGTTAAATTTATTATCCTTTCCTTTTTATTCTGATGTTAGTTATCTTGGTTAACTGCATTGAACTTTCCGCCATTAAAACACTATGTGATTGTATTTTCTCACGTGACTACCAGACAAACTGTTATTGGCTGATAGAAACACATTTTGGTGGCGGTCGCCACAAAAGATAGAATTTAACTAACTTTTGCGGCACAAGAAAAGCGGAACAAAATTGACTTCTGTGGCGAGAGAAAGTGATGTCATTCTGCCGCTTTTCAATGCAATCATTCAAACTTTGCCGGCCATGGCCATGGCCACAACCACGAAGTCGTCCATGATGCATTTTCAATGAAATTAACCTATCCAATTTCAAAATTTCTCTCCATTGTATGTCCCCCTGGGTTGAATTTTTGTCGATGCTTAACGAAAATTTCCCATTTTTGAAAAAAATAATCATGGCTATTGTATCATCTGAAATTTTTTATTTTGCACAAACAACTTATATATTATATTAAAACTTTTATATTATATTATATATTTTATATANATATATATATTAATAAATGTAAAAAGAAAACAAATTGTATTTCGGAAGTTAGTTTTAATATAAAATTATAATAACTAGTGCCATCTACTTTGAAAAATGTTCCGATTCTGAAATGAGATATCTCAGGTCAGCCAGTCAAGGTCAGCACGAGGTGACCAGAGATATGTGGGGAATAACATGGGACAGGTAAATGGGTTTTTTTCAAAGATTCATTTGTCAAAATTCAATTTCTCATTTCGAACTTCCCAATTCACGTGTTTGTCAAAATTTGATTTCTCAATGTTCGCATTTCTAACTTCCCAACCAGCAACACACGTGCAAATCTCACACTACTTCCTGTTTGTAGAGAGTCTCACTATTTTGTATTTTATTTTGACTTGGTTCTCGGACCCTTGAGTACCTACAAGTCTGGCTTTGTTTTATGCATGCATGATTTGGGCATCAAATACTCTGTGCAAAATATAACTCCTGACATATACTCTTTCATACCTCTAAGCTAGTAACACAGCAGGCAGTACGATTTTATAAACAAGACATAGTCTTATCAATAACACACAAACATATGCACTCAGAAATGTAAAGTTCGTTTTTTGTGAAGAAGGGTCTCGGCTTTTCTGAAATTTTTGTCTTTTTTTTTTCAATAAAGTTATGTAGTTTCATTTGTCGCTTTTTTTCTTTCCTTAAGCAAATGTTGGTAGCAAGAAGTCGCATCCAAAATGCCTCATTTTGCTTTTGTACTCCTTTCAAAATTTGGATCATTGATGATTTCGGTTATTGTTACCAAACTTTTACTAAGGAAATCTGTAGCAAGTTCTTTGGTTTCTTCATTTTCAGAATCACTATTTTCCAGTTCTACGTGAATTCCTTGAAGGTTGTTGTTGGTAAGGTTCTCACCAGAAACCTACAGTAACTCCTCAATATCCTGCTTGTCTACATTACCTAGTCCTGCTGTATTGATTACGTTGACAATTTAACAATACAGCAATAGGCTCTTCTTGTTGAGAATTCTTGGTTACCTTCAGCCATAACTTCTTCCACACTCTGTTCATGCATTTATCAACTAATTCTTCCAAGCAAAGTTGATATTGGCATCTATGATGATATATTTTTTCCAAAATTGCACAAAACAAACATAGATTTAAGCACTATGCACTATGACGAATTTCCATCTTTTGCTGATTGGTTCATGTTCATAAATAATCGTATTATATACGAACCAATGAAATGCTGTGATAATTTGAATCAATGTAAAGTTTGAGCTTTTTTAGGCTTTGAACAGACCGTGTTATATCAAATCAGTGTTAAGCAGGGTCTTGCTGTAATTTATTGGTTAACTGGTAACACTTGAAACTTTATTTATTAAAAGTAATATGGTAAATTGATTAATTTGTAACCTTTAGCATTGGGAATTTAGGACATCAATCTACTGTGCTCCTATATATTTTAATAAAATAATGGTTTTATGTACACAAAATGTGATTTTGTAAAGTATATAATATATATATGATAATTCTAATATAAATCAAAATTCAATAAATTTAAGTTAATTTCATTATAAGAACAAAAATAATTTCCTTATTTTGTTTTTAGGAATGATGATAAAACTGCAGCAGATTATAAAGTGACTGGTGGATCAGTCTTACATTTAGTGTTGGCTTTACGTGGTGGTGTATATTGAAGATTAGGAATCTCCATTATAATAAACTGAAGAATTTGGAAAATTCAAATCGGTTTTATAATATATTTGTTTATCTGGTTTGAATATGTTTCATTTTCTATAACGACTGCAAAATGTTTTTTCTATGTATGTTTGTTAAAATATAAACACACGTTATTTGAAATAATAACAATTTGATTCAATAATTAATTTTAAATATAAAAAATGCTTTGTCAAAAATAGAATAAAATACTTAAAAATAATTTCTTAAAAGCTTTCTTTGTATTGATAGTTTTATGATTAATTATCAAACAACAAAAAATTAAATAGTTTCTATGACCATATTTTGTATGTACATTTTTAATTAATTCATATTTTACAGAAAAGGATATTTACTTTATAAAAATGGGTTGTTTGTTTATATTAGTGTCCTAGTTCAAAAATAACTTATTTTAAAAATTTAAATTTTATTTATTTATGATCATCATGATTAATTGATATTGAATAAATAAAATCTTTACAGATATACTGATATTTATAAGTCAAAACTATTGAAGCTTGTGCTTGTTTAGATCACTTGCATTAAAATCAAAAATATTACGGTGGGGAAAAAATGCAAATTGAAAATATCTATGTTTTGTTTTCTTTACCTTAAACTTCAGAATTAATTGTTAAAATTAATGCTACAATGATATTATTTTATAATTAAGTATTTGGTATTTGTATTGATAAAACAGATGTTTTGTCCTAATACTACCAAGATTGATAAACATTTGTTTTAATTTTCTTTTAAAATATTTTCAACAATAAACTTTCATTATGATTCATAAATGCTAATGTTATCAAAATATTTAATCTTCAAAACTGAAAATTACATTGATACATACTTATATGTAAAAAAATATATATATATATATGTACACATTTACAAAAAAACTGCAGCAATTGTATGCAAGGTCAGCAC